ATTAATTATAATTAATAGAATAGTCGGCTTATAATTTATAACCTACAATAAGTAAACACTATTTAAACTGAATGTCACGCAAAACACAGCGGATTACCACAACTACTATTTGCGTACAATGCGCCGGCAACCAGTTTCAGCCAATCACCACCGGCAATACATCGTACTTAGGAATAAACGTCGCCTTTCACAATATCAGCCATTAAACTCATCAAAACTAGTATGTATCATATGCAAGGAATAATTTGCTTATTGTGCTATACTTCAATTCACCACAACGTTACAGTAATATTCTACTCTCTCTTACAATACGTTTCCCAGCTTATTCGCCTGGACCTGTAGTGTACATATGCAGATTTATCAGCAATTTTCCATCAAGTTTTGTGTAGTAAACGTGTGGCATTAACATTCAAAAGTGTTGTTTTCCGCGTACAGAAACCATTGCATCACTTCAAGCGGACCATACGCATTTTTTTATTGTTCATATCAGATATATTGTTAATTTCACTCATTTGGCGTTGTTGTTTGATGTGTACATTTCCTTATCCAAGTATTTGTTTTTTTTCCTATTTTTCAACATTTTGCGCAAAAATCGTAACATAAAATGTAACCAAACTTGCGTAGAAGGTTTGTAATGGCATGGTGTTATTTGTTTTCTTTTAAAAGTATGCAATATATTGACTACCGTCAATCGAGCGTCATTGCACCACAAAAACATTGTTGTTTCACCGTTTGTGATCAGTTTCCCACTCATAAGCGATATTGTAGTACATACAACTCGATCGTCAGTTACGGTTTGCAGTTTGAAAATTAAAACTGCCTCCAGGCAAAGTAGACCCCAATGCGCTAGCCTCGTTGGGCGATCCTTTGCTGATGTACAAAGCGATTATTTGGCGTGCATTTTTAAAGATGAGGGAATTTTTGTGATATGTTATGCCTTCTAGCAGCATTATCAGGAGACGCTAGCTAGGGTTAATGATGTCGAGTTTTGACACTCGATGCAGTAAATAGATGCCACTCAAAAGACTGCTGTGCACATTTTATTGAACGAAATTTGGTGAGCAATAGGTGTCATAGAACATATCTACTAATTTACCGAAAATTTTAATGTAATATCCACGTTTTATAGCGTCAATCAATATTAGAATAATACTCGAATACACACTTGATGTACATATATGGGTCGTCCTTTCGCCAGAGATTCCTAGTCATATCTATAACATGATCATATAAAATGGATTAGCTTTAGAAACTTGAGGAATAATGAAATAGAAATTACCATAGTAATATCTCAAATAATCAGAGTCCTAGCTAAAAAACGTCAGACCAATCAAACAATACAATAAGGCTGAGTAATCAACATTATTTTTTTATGTTCGCAATTAACAATTTTGCACATACATGCAATATGC